CACACACACACTGTCAAAAACATCAGCATTTTTTTTCAATGCTGAAACTTGAAACATGCAATCAGCTGCACTAATCACCTGGAAAAAAAATCAATGATGACATTAAGGACCTGTGGAATAGTACAAACACTGCGCCACCTGCATCTTAGGCCCCGTGCCTTGATGAAACAGTCTGACATTCTCCCAGCAAAATACGTGTTAACGTGATTAGATTTCCTATGTATTAGCTCTTAATGTGATGCCAGAGGAGTGGGGAAATCTTTAAGTGGGATGCGTAAGTGTGCATGATTTATTGATCTCCTCAGAGAAGAGAGCAGCTGAGGATAGCACGCGGCATGTCCATTTGTATATTAACTTACATACCTGTGATGTCGTGCTGAAAATTGAAATTAATTAGCTTGCCGATTTTGTTTTCAATTTACTTTTTGAGATAAACTACAGGTACATTATTAAAGTCCCCCACGCCCCATTTTTTTTTCTTTTAGTGTTTATGTTTCTGTGGAACACTGTGTTTGTGTGTGTGAATTTTACAGATACTGTTGTTCTTGAAATTAGAATGCTCCTATTGAGTAGTAGCAACAAAACTAAAAAGCAGACTATAGTTCTATTTTATTCAAAGAAAGGAACACTTTCAATGGTTCTTAATAATATATCTGAAAAATTGATTATTTTTCCCCATTGAAAAGATGGAGGCATTAACAAACGCGTATGTTTCAGGGTTAATAATCTGTGAATACTTAGTGAAAAAAAATCCTCTCTGTTCCTGTTAAAGGGTAGTAATGACACGACTTTGTGTTTGTGTTACAGGTTTAAATGAAGATCTGGTGAAGGCTTTAATGAACAGGGATGACTTTCATATGGAACAGGACTCTATGTTGGTGGACATTGAAGATCTGACACGGTAAATAAAATACTGAACCTAGTTGTTGATGATAGACCTAATGGAATGTATTTGTTGATGATACACCTAATGGAATGTATTTGGATGATGAGTGCTTTAAGATTTGATTGCTTGAAAATTTGAATTGAAATTTAAAATAGCTTGATACAAAATAATGCGAATTCATTTGGGCTTTTTTTCATTTTGCCATTTATTTGTAAATATACCTGCAAATGCCATGTACTCTGTGTATATTATATATTGTTTGTGAATTGTGTAATTTTATAGAAATGTCAATTATTTTGACAGGCTTTGAATGCTAGTTTGCTAAAATGATTCCACATTTTTGATATTTTATTTGTCATAGGTAACATTTCACAAGATTCCATCAAGCTGTTTTCGACACTCCACAACTTTTCAGAGAGGCAAATCCATTTTGTCTTGAGACTTAATTGCTGAGAATGCAATTAATTAATAGATATTAACTGATGTAGTTCCCATGATTTAGGTGTTTATAGCTCAGTTAACCTGAAGATTAATGTTTACTTTTCCATTTGCATAAATGTATTTCAGCTTAATTTTGATTACTGGAATTCTACAGCATTTCCATGTTAATTTTGTCAGCATTTCCTTTGATATTTCTTATTTTGGTGTCAATTTTCAGTGGGAGGATATGGCCGCAAGCCATGAGTGAAAATGTCATGTAGGTGACAGTATATGCTCCTGTACTACAATAGTGTAGGGGGAGCTGCAGTCAGCATTTCACAGGGTTGCCAACTGTACATTGTTGTCATTGCTTATTCCCCTCTTGATGTTTATGAAATTCAGTGTAAATTAAACAACTTTACCATATTTTGGGTTGTCGTGTTGTTTGTGATACTTGACAGATGTTGGCAACTCTGATTTAGGGCTTCTGTAGTTTCAGCTATGCAAAAATAATCAATAAAGACAGAGTGATCAGCAAAACTTCAAATTGCAATGGAAAAAGTAGACTATACTCATAAGTACAGTAGGTTATTACATTAGATTTTTTCTTGGCATCTTGTACTTTTGCAAGTAAGCTAGGAAAGGTTTGTGTGTGTGTGTGTGTGTGCGTTCTTTTGCTTACCTATACAGGTAAAATATATATTATTGGAATGCTTGGAACCAGATGAATAGTTGCTGTCAAGAAAAACGTCTCTCTGTTATTATATTTTCAGTACAAAAATACTGGCTCAGTAAAGTTTTAAACTCAATCCAAAGTTTCATGGTTGCTGGTCACTCTTGTCTTGTGTCTTAACACAGTGATTTGGGGTTGTCTTGACTGATTTAGCACTGACATCTGGTGGGAAATTTTCCTGAATAATTATATCTTCTGAGGGGGCATAAATGGTTTGGTTTTATCTAATAATCTCTGGTGAACTGAAGATTGCACTTTCCTTTTCTTGCAAAATTAGTTCAGTTCTTTCTGAATATCCTTTTCTCTTTAAATGATTAATTTAAAATCAGTTGAAAATTTTAATATTGATAAGGGATTTATAAGTGAAAAGGGATGTAAAAGCTTGATATATATATATATATAGTTACTGTAGTCATACATAGCAATGAAAAGAAGTTATGACCAAAGCTGAAAACATTAATTTACAATAGTAGATTATGATATGTTGGAAAAGGTATGGTATCTCTTAGCAGTATGATGTATATATTTACTTCACTTTAGAAATATCAGCTGGCCAGTTTGTGGCGTCTCTTCATTTTTCTCTTCCATTTGTTACTTTTGGAGTTAGTTTATGGCCTTCTTACGTAATATTTTACCTAACAAAGTCAAACACCATTGTTATATACAGACTTGACATTTAATATCAATTTTTTTTCCCAAAACCAATCTTCTTCAATTTTTCCTTATCTTAAAGTAATAACTGAAAACAGCATATGCTATCATGTTTGACATGCCATAATGAATCATTCAGTGTCAATGTGTCGTCAAGCATTTAATTATTCAAAACGTCATTACAAACCACATCCGATTTCATGATGAATGACTTGCTGTGCAGCAGTGTGCCCTTGGGAAAAGTATCAAGTCACCTGCCTTTTCTCACACAGCATATAACAATCATGACAAAGTTAAAAGATTTGCAACCAATAATCTGTGACCATTTCTGGCTGATACCAGAGCCCTCTCTGAGCAAGGCATTCCTTTAGAATGCTTTCTGAGAATTTGAACTGATTTTGCACTCCACAAGTCAGTTAGAGCTGGTTGAGGTAAATGTTTTTAGTCTGGACCAGTAAGCTGTTGGTTCTGCGGGTAATTTCTGCCCAAAGGTTCTCTGTTGGGTTTATGTCATGGGATATTGACAGCTAGGACAACTGGTTCACCCCTTGGTTCTGCAGGAAATCTGTTATAGCAATGGCTCTTTGTGGTCTGGCATTATTATTTGGGAGGATAAAGTTGCCCCGGAAGTGGCTTCTTTCAAATGGTAAGCAAGTTTTCTCTAAAATGCCCCTGTATTTTACCTGGTTTAGGATACCAACAATTGCCACCAATGGTGCATTGGCTCCACTTTGAAAGCCAGCTCATGCACAGATACTGCCACTGCCACCAGTCACTGTATGGGTGACACCAAGCCCAGCTAGTGGAGTATCTCCTCTTGAAGCCTGCAGACTCTTATATGGCCATCACAGTGGTGAAACTCAAACATTGATTCTTCCATAAAAGCCACATGGTGACAGTGTTGTGCGCAGAACCTCAAATGGTACCTTTCCCAGCACAGTCACTGGCATTGATGTTGTGCTGTTAACAGAGGCTTTTTTCAAGGTTGCCTGGCATAGTAGCCAGCTAAAATTAGTCTGGCATTCACTGGCGTTCTGGATACATGTTTTCAAATGGCAATTTGCCACTTAGTTTTAGAATTACTTCCTCGACCTCTGTATCCAGCACAAGGGACATAAGGTCATATCCCATCACTGAGTTTCACACTCTCACCATCTCATTGCTCTCATCTTTATTTCTGTGGACAGGTTTATGCTGTTTGCCTCGGATGTTATATCTCCTCATTGTCTTGTTTAGCCAAAAGATGTTGCAGATCTTATGCTGTTGTTGCAGATCATTGTTGCCACTAATGAAGTCTTAAAACTATTCTAGTTCTTCTCCATAAGTGATAACTGCTGTTCTTTTTGGTGTGTTTTTGATACATTACTCATTTCTTCTGGTTGCTTTGAAGACCAGCCTGTTCTGCATTATGTGATAATTTGTCAGACTTTTTCCCGGGAATGTGAAGTGGTGGTTGACAGGGTTGCGATATCCTCTGCAAAGCCAGTGTCATCTTGATGTGCTATATTCTTTCACATTAACCAATTAATTGTTGCCACATTATCTGTACCATGAGACTTTGAGCATCCATTTGCCAAACTTGGGAGTGTATTTTGTCCAGTTGTTGCAACATAACAATAAGAGCAAGCAGTCTTTTTGTCTGGTTGTGACTTTAGGACACCCTGGTCATGAGGTGCAGCAGTCTGGGTATGCCTCTGGGCCGTTTAAGACACTGTTCCTCAACTCACATTGAGCGGTCTGGCACTGGTAGTTTGCTTCTCTCACAATGCAACAGTATTGTGGCATCTTGATTCTATTAGTCCATGTACCATATGGCCAACCAAGACTGCAAAAATGTTCAAAGTCTTCTGACTAGGCATTGATAAAAATTTCGACTTTTTATACAGAGACGCTTTTATACTCATTCTTAAACCAGACTTGAAACAAATGACCACACCTTACGTAACATAAACATTCTTTGGACAAGATGACCAGTTAGATGCTACCTGACACACCTGGCTACATGTCTACCTGTTTGCATTTCTCATGTGTGATTTACATTTTCTTAAAACTAGTGCATTTATTACGAACACTTAGCTGGAAAACTAAAATATTTGATGCAAAATGTCAAGTCTGTATGTATACATTTCAAACTACATAATGGCAATTGATTTTTATGTCACGTTTGTGAAAGTTTGTGGGCAATGAATTTAAGTAATCTGCACAGATTTTCTTAACAGAAATATCCTTATTTTAGCACTTTAAATAATCCCATTGTTGAATTTAATCTTTTGAGTGGTCTCTGGTTGATACTTTCAAAAATGTCATCATTTTATCACTTTAAATAATTTCTTTGTTCAATTAAATTTTTTGTATGGTCTCTTCTTGATATTTTCTTGCTCACCTCACCAGCATGTTCACCGGCATCTTTCCCTTTTCAGACGTGCTCAAGAATGCGCCCAGCGCGTGAGCTCACGAAATCAGCGTCGAAAAGAAAAGGGCAGCAGCTGATACATTAAAACCTGTCTCATGAGGAGTTGGCTAAAAACTGGACTTAATTCCATGATGTCACAAAATAATGTCACATCCCTTCACTGGCAAATGCATGGCAGTAGTCACAACCACTTGGGAAGCACTTCACTGATCACTGTATAGTGTAGAGAATTTTTCCCCTCTTGGTTGAGCAGTTTTCCAGTTTTAGTCAAGCTTGAATATATACATGTGCCATGAAGATGCAACCAAGAATCAGTAAGGAAAAAGACAGGGCAGGTGTTACTATAAGGATTAAGCTTATCACAGAAACATTTGGTCATACATAAATGGCGTCTCAGATAGAGGCTAGATACAATCATTCTCTTTGTAAATGGTTTGCACCAGTCACTATGCTGTTCTCCTCCCCATGGCTGTGTTATATACATATTTCATTTTCAGAAGAGGTGGCTTTTTGAAGTAGAGATTGCAGTAGTTGTGCCGGTAGAGCTGTGAATGTGTGATTTAACTCTGGATTGTGCTTGTTGAGACAGACGAACTTCAGGAAGATGGATGAACTCCAGGCGACCATTGGTGCTGAATTGTGAAAGATGTCACATACCTTGGTATTTGATATCCAATTTGAATAATCAGGAACATGGAAATTGCCCCTTTAAAGAGATTTATTTACTGTTCATGCATACCAGAAATGTTCAAGTAGAAACTTCAAGGTGATTTGTTTTTTTATTAAAATGTTGCATTTGACAACCTTCCGTAGATTGTGTCATGATGAGTGTTGCTGCTGAATATGTGAAAGATGTCACTTACTATGGTGTTATATGATCAGGAAGAAGGAAATTGCCCATAAATTCAATCATATGGGCCGTAGTGATAGCCCATCATTCAAATTACTGGTTGTAATGTAACCAAAGGGCTCCATAGGACCAGAAGGAGATGTGCTTGGGATGATTTCCCAGAAAAAAAATGGTCTGAAACTTCAGATGTAAGATTTAGTCTACTTAAAATCATTTGATTAAACTACTACTGTTAAATCTTGGTCTATGAATTAAAGGCAACATAAGATATTTACTTCTTCTGTGAAAGGACTCCTGTAAGTGCCATATTTGCTCTCAGGGGAAAAAAGGACGGCATCACTGGATGTATTGAGAAGGCAGAAACACGCATTTTGTATGTAGACAGGTTCTCCACAAGTAAATGACAATAAGGTTGTAGGAGAAACCGTTACCCCTCTGAAAGAGCCAATCGAAATTCACTTGATAATAAATTGAGGCACAGTAATGGCTAAGGTGGTGGATTTGTCACCATATTATTGTACTATAGATGGCACTTCTACATACTTCCAAGATAAAGCTGTTTAGTGCAGTTAGAAAACGGGCTTTACAAAAGTTGAGTTCCAGATGTGTAACAAAAGACTTGACATCTTATTTAAGTACCTATAAGTGACTTGATGTTTTTGCTTTCTGAGGATTCTGGAGTTAAGATTTGATGAAACAGGTGCTCAAGTTTTTGTTTAAGTAATTATGATAATTTATTGGAAAGTTTGTCATGTTCTTGCTGCTTTGTTTCCAAAGTACGCTGTAATTTGGTTTAATTATTTTAAATCTATTTTAAAAGAACATACATGTTACCTTTTTTGCCTCAAATAGTTTAGAGGAAATCTTGGTCTGAAGTCACTAAGCAATCCTCAAGTATTGGCTTCTTTGTCCAAAATTCATGTGAAATACACACGTGAAGTTGGACAATTTCAATGTAAAAAATAATATTATTATTTTATTAGAAAAACTTAGTGAAACCAGCCACTAAAATACTAGCAATGCAGTGCTTACTACAGGACGCTTCCTCAAGGTAGCTGTGAGTGTAGAACTGAGTTTAAATAGATGAGTTAAGTTGTGAATAATGTAGCTGTTAAAATTCATTATAATTGTTTATTCTGGTTACCGTTATGGTAGCAGCGTACTCATTCACACACTTTGCTCTGTAGGCAGTGTCGTCACTTGATATACAGGACTTCGATAAATATGTCGAACTTGAAATTGACTATATTGTACTGAAGATATGGTCATGAATCGAAACCAATGTGATACAAATAAGACACAGTGCAATATAGGCATTGTGCTTTACCTTTTTATATGCCTCAATTGAAGTATTCATACTCGGTGTGAAATATGTGTATGTATTGTTTATTAATTTCAATGCCTTTAATTGAGTGCATTGGCTGTTTAAAGGATTGCTTCGTTCATAGCGATGCCTCAACAGCTTCAGGATTACAATGCACTAATTTTTAACACGCGGAACTGTTGACGTATATCATCATGGCGTGAACTAGCTGCTTCATTTCTTAATGTCCATGCATACCTTTAACGACTTTTATTTGGAATGTAGTAACCACGAAACATTTTAGGTGGGTACTAGTTCGAAGGTGAACGCGTCAATGACAAAATTTAGGCGGTTCTATTAACTGTATCACATATCCCTCTTTAAAACAATAACAAAAAAAAAGAAATGGAGAAGCTGGTTCACATCTGACTTGGCAGTGTTCATCATGATGTTAAGTGAACTCATTTAATTATAACCATATTGTATAAATTCTAGTCTGCTCGATTTCATTGCCTTTCCAATAAAGGTCACTAGCAGTGTATTATGCTAAACATGATTATGTGTTGAATTTTTATTAAAAAAAAGAAAAAGACACGTCCAGGAACCGGGGGTTTGAATGATCTCAGACTGGGCTCATGAAGTTGATGAAAATTAAAGCACTTTATTTGAATATGATTTTGCATACAAATTCGTGTAATACATATGCATATACATGACATCGTAAACGATATCAAACATTTTTCCCCGACAAATATCGATCCGCTAGATTAAGCCACCAGGCAAACAGATACAATTACGCATGAGTGTGCAGTGGCGAATCCAACTGCCAAACAACACTCCTTCTATGTTCATTTAGAATTAAAGACAACCACACCTCATTCAAAATACATCTTTCATAATATGAAAAACTAAAAAAAATGATATTTTGATGTGTAGCAAACTGGCCATGTCGGGCGAGACTGAGGAGGAGGGGGTACATTGATTCCCTTATCCAAAAACCTAGCCATTTAATTGTTGTTAATCTCCCAAACTTGTGCAATACAGAAAGCTGTACCCCTTCGTGTTAAATAAGCACATGCCATGGTGAACCGGTCCAGCTGAATGTTCCATTCCGTGTGGAAATAACCCAACTTTCAGCTGATTCATGCTCAGAAAATAAAGCACCTGCGATTTACCTTGTTTGCCAGGTGGTTTGATCTACTAACAGAGACGATCTTGGACAAGAACTGTTAGAAATATCAATCTCCCTCACCAACACCAGTCAAGTTATTCGCCGTTAAATCCCATTATAAACTGAAACTGTCGGCCATGTTTTAAACTCCTTGGGTTGTTGACAAGCCACCCACCCCCACCCAAACCAATCCCACCTCTCCCAACGGAATATTGTTGCATTGCATGTTTGACTATTGCCAGCTTTATCCAGAAAAGAAAGAGGACCGGTTTCACGAAGCCTTTGTTAACTGACAGTTATCGTTCATATCTTGCATTTGACACGTGGGCGAGCACCGCAACGACAAGCCGTTACAAAACAAAGTCTTCGTAAAACCGATTCTAAGTCGGTAGCAGTGCCTATTTTTAAATTGCACACTGCGCCGATCTACTGAGTATCATTTCGACAAGAATATTCATGAATGTTGGAACCCACAGCCAAGCACCGCTTTAACTGCAGTAGTAAAAGGCTCCCGTTGTCAGTTCAATGAATAATGTCCCATTCAATCTGGAGAAATATCTTTAACATTGGAACGCAGGGTGGTCCTTCATCCGGGACAGGGGCACTGGGTTCTTCACCCACTCCAGGATCTGGCTCATGGTGACGATGTACACGTTCTTATTGGACAGAAGTTCGTCAATGTATTGATGGAGAGCGTAAAACCTGGAACATAGTATTTTTTTTTACTTTTCATTTGCATGCAAACATAAACGACTAAGAATGACGAGAACCTCAGCCGACGGGTTACATCCCATCTCAAATTTATTCAGTAAAATCCTGTAACTGTTAGTAATGCTTTCTATTGAGGACAGCACAGTATAGTGTGGTAAAATATACCCATAATGTACTTTGTTATTGCAATCCTTTGAAGTAAAATGTTTTTAAATAGACAAACAACGTACTTATTGTGGGGAAAAGAGAGAGAGAGAGAGGAACCAACGATAGCGTACCTGTGACTCCACCAGTCTAGCCACGTAGCGTGCGTACTCATTTGGAAAGGTGCTCGGTTCGTGTGGTAAAAACGCTTGAAATTATACCTTGAAGAAAGAAATAAAAATGATATACTGAAACAAGTGTCACAAGTCTACCAAGTACATACCTTCTACCAGGGTCATATATCGACTTTTCATTATAGGCCTATGTATTCAAAGCTACGTCTCTGGCAAATTCATGACAGTTTTGCTTCCTCGCGAATTTTTCTGCATAAAATGCATTCCATTGCTCAGCTAGCTTCTAGTATAGATTACGACAATCACATAACATTAACTGTGCTTAGTTTTTACGCTGAACAACTCAACGTAAAAACTAAGCACAGTTAATGTTATGTGATTGTCGTAATCTATACTAGAAGCTAGGCAACTCAAACGACTTAAAAAAACCAAGGACGTCTTCACCGACCTAAAGTACCCCAGCGTTTCATCCTTGGATTGGGGCCAGCAGGCCGTGTCTATCATGGTGCACCGCGTCTTCAGTTTGCCCTTGTCGTCCAGCAGGAAGTGAATATTGGTTGGGAATTCCCAGACGCCAGGGAAGGGTTTAGATGGGCAGTTCTTCATAGTGCAAAGCATCCTCCCGGGGACGTGGTCCAGAGTGAACGGCCACAGGGGCTCGGAGTTGTCCTTCAGACCCTGGGGGTGGTAGGGGACCATGGTGGCGTCGTATTTAAAGCCGTGGTCTTTTAGCACCTGGAATTCGTTGTCGCCGCCAATGGCAAGGAAGGGGCTGCGGTATCCGATCATTTCACCGATGGGGATACCTAAAATGTGTGGAAGCGTTTTCTCTCCAAGTGTTTCAAGAACATATTGCCGTTTGTTTTATTGTTTAGTCAAGAACCTTTGTAAGGCCTAAGTAAACATATCAAAACCTTTTGAACAGCTTTGGCCGTCCGTTGATGGAGCTTAGAACTGAGCCGGTCTTATGTACATGTGGGTCTCCTGTTAAACAGGGTCCGGATCCCAGTGACTTGTACGGGTAAGCCCCGCCCTAAATTTTGACACGCTAACGCCTAACCTCAATAATTACAAAGGAAGATGGACTCTGTCACACTTACCCTCAGATTCTTAACACCGGTTTAAGTTTAACACTGGTCAATAAGATTAACTCACCCGTCTCCTCGTGTGTGAATGTTCTCTGTCCCACGATCTCTTTGACGTAATTATCATAGGAACCATGGTACCAGTAAGTCAGGTTGTTTATGTGGGACACAGTGTGAATAGCTATCTCGTGACCGGCATCGTAAAGTTCCTTTACCTGTCATAAACAACTGGACAGAATGATTAATCTGAACTTTTGAATAAGCGAGCGCAAACAAAATCAGAAATCATTATTAATTTATCTTGGGAGCAACGCTGTTAACAGCTTCGTTCACAACCTTACAAGTTTGTAGTATTTTAGTGTACGAGTATGATATCAATCACGCAAACGGAAAATTATTGTGGTAGATGTGACGCAGAACACCGCGGCACAATACACTGTCCCATACCTGGTTATAGACTGTGCCGTTGTGTGTCAGGAAATACGTCGCTCCGATAGAACAGCCGTTAGGGTTCTTTCTTGATGGGTGGAAGAGCAACCTGCAATAATTACAATGGCATAATATGAACAGCAGCAAATAAATTAACACATGCAATAATAAAAAAATATCATCTAACTAGCGATACATATTTCCCATGGTAAATTTATAAAAAAAAAACACGTTTACATTTTATGCAGAAAATGAATGTTATTAAAAGAATCAAACAGAATTATATTAAGGTTTATTTGTGATATCATTTCGTTCGATTAAGATGTATTTATCAACCCAAACCGTTCTGGAAGCTATTTTGAGAAAATAGCCTATACTGACATCTCATTCAACAAGAATAAGTGTCAACTGCAACAGTTTTTCATATAACATTCTCTTTATAACGCCTGTCATTTGCGAAACTCGAGAGTGATAGCTCATCCAATTTTAGGTGTTTTGCCTACCTGTAATACTTCATCATAGCAGCGTAGTCATTTATCCAATCATCGAACGAGATGTAGACGAACTGCGGGACTTCCTCTGGCGGTATGTTGCCGGGAATACCCGAATACGGACAGAAGCATTCCGGTAGCTTGCAGTCGGGAACACACTCGAACTTAGGGCGATACGTTTTAATAGGTCGGTATGTTTCTGAAACAGTAGGGGTCCATTTATGTCACACATATGAAAGGCATTACCGTGAATATACTGAATGTACAATTTTTTGTCATTTTCACAATATGTCCACGGCAGACCATATGATATCTTTGTTGATTTTGTTCTTAACTTGTCGTTACGTCGCTTTGCAGACCTCAGAAAAGTGAATTCGACCGAGGCTGCGCCCAAAGAAAATAGAAGTTTGAACTTACCGTCAGAGGTACTGCTTGGCTCAACGTCAGGCAATAAAACAGATGGCTTTTGTGGTTCTTCTACGGCAACTGGCCTTTTTGAAACACTCTTATATTTTTTTAACTTGGCTGAAATAAGGATGAGAAAAATGTAATGGTTTTAATGCATTGGCGTTTGACTTTTTAAAAAGCTTTTTGAATTTTTCACGTGATAAACGTTCTGGCGAGTTTAAGATGCCTATTGGATAAATGATGTGGCAAATGAAGTCTTGGCAATACATGTTTGCGTACCATATATCCATAAATCCTCCAAATATTCAAATAATCTCCAAGTATTAGAAAAAACATATTTTAGCATATACTGTTATTACGCTACTTTTTAACACTGGGTATGCGACGTACTTCCCAAAGAAGTCGATATAAAACAGTGCTTTTAAATATATAAAATACTGCATGAATCTAAACCTGAAAACTTCACGGTTTAAGAGGATAGGCCTATACGGTGTATGTTATATGGTTATAATGTTATGTTAAATGTAATAATGATTATAAGGTCCATGTCATAAGAGAGGTAGATATCCATTACCCTAGGTAATAGCACAGTATGAATTTATGTAGTTAATAAATCCCTTAACCTAAGCTTAAGGTTATTTTAGAGGAACATTACAAAATCTGGAAATGGTATCAAGCCCTCTACCGTTACAAGTAATGGTCATTATTAGGTATTGACATAAAGATTTAGCATAATAATTCTTTTCCCCATGGATTTGCGAATGTGGAAAGAGCAGACGGCTTATCCTATCCCATTGGGAGGGCTAATATTGTTTCATTGCTCAAATCACTGTTTCACATCCAGTCTATTATAGCATTTCATACATGAAGATATCATGCATTACCATTCAAAACACTTGGTGAATATATTTCATTCAGATAAGCTTCTCGGGTTCAAATTCTGACCGTTGATATGCCAGGCAGATAAAAGGGTGTTAGGTGTTGACTAAGCTGTAAGATTATTAAGCCTCCAATCTAGCCAATCAGGTCTCAGTTGCAGTGTTTTACGTCACACTTGGTGGTGTCGGAATGAAACCTAATGACGTCATGCGTAACCATGTGATTATCTAGGCATTTGATCATTTAAGGGTTAATTTAACTCGTGCACCTATCCTTTGTTGAGAGATCTCTTTTTCGTAAGATATCCAGCGCGTGGTACATAAGTCACTTTGAGGATTCATGTTAATTCACCGTATAGATCTTAATGAAAATAGAAGTATATATATATTGATGCACCTAATGTAGATCTTCAAAGGTGCATCAATATATATATATATACTTCTACGTACATAAGTCACATAACGCATGGGACAGAACGAACGATAAAATGAACAGATAGATTTGTATCACTTACCGTATTACTCAAGCTCATAAATTTGGTCTCTACTTTGGAACTGACTACACGGCTACCTAGACGTTACGCAATGTGTTCAACACGGAACGCTGGAGATGCACTTGAACCCAGTTTTGAAATTATGCTAATTGGTGTACAACCATGCAGTGGTCACGGGATAATGGTAACCGCTACTATAGGTTTTTAATGGGGATGGAATCAGCGGCACCTAAGGTCAATTTTGTATACAGTAGAGGTCGAGCAGCTGGTTTTGTTGCGATTTATTTCTTCATTAAAGCGACACCCTGTTAGCATAGAACCATATGCAGAAACATTAGAAAAAGCCCTTACTGACGAAAATTGTCAGAAACGAAATTTTCAAAGTAATTTTGAGAGGATGTCATAAACCGTGTGTATAGCGCAGTTGCACCTTACTTGACATTACATGTTTAGATACAAATAGCCGTGTAAATAGTAGGACAAAAAGTAAAGCGCAAGGTTTGCATATTTTAGCTTAGCGCAGTGGGAGGGTAATTAATACGACGGAGTGACGTCACAGCGCGTCACGTCACACCATTATTGGAGGGAACTTTACAGTCTGTCCGGAGATTCCGAGCTGCGCGTGCACATTGACTGAAGCGACGGCCATTTCCGCACTACTTTCAGCAAAATCGAGTGAAAATGGACGACTTTTGATCTCTTCTTGTTTTCATGTGTATTTTTGTCAACTGTTGATGTGATTAAACGATATGTATATAAAAGGAAGCGGGAATGTCTAGGGATTCGGAATTTTAAGGTTAGTTGTCATAAAAAATAGATTTAGAACTGTAAAATGGGAGATTTATCCACGCGGGTGATTGCAAATGGAGCCCCGTTTCAGGTGTCCGCAATTTTCTATTTAAAGATTTCTGTAAGAATTTGAAATCTCACAATTTTTTAAAAACTAAATCATGAAAGCCAATTAAGCTGGGTTTCTGGCAGTATATATGTTTTGTAAATTCAGCTTTGTCCATTTTTTTTAGCGCGAGGTGAAATCGACGCCAAGCACTCGCATTTCTGAAGCGTGTCACACTAGTGCGTTTCAACTATTACAAAATTGCTACAATGTTTATTTCACCAGCGTTTTACATATATTCTAAAAGCTAAACAAGTGGGCTTCGTGTTGATATTAAATATATGTTGCGTTCGGGTCCCA